TCACGCATCGAAAAACCTTCCGATTTATTCGTGTACGCACCAGACGGAAAAACAAAAAATATCGTGTATCCACAAACACTCCAATAAATAAATAGAATTGAAACGACACTTTGAAATGTTTTCCTGGTGAAAATGAATAATAATAATAAGTTTCAATAAAAATAATAAAATGTAAATTGAATTTTATCATAACGAGTTTGCTTGAATTTCCTTTCTTCTAAGATCGCAGCAATGCGCTACGGGTAAGCTAGTACATTTATAATAAATACATTTTGAGCCACAACAACGCGTGGCGAAGTCTCCTAGTATCGAATAAAATTAAAACACAATAATTGTACGAAATAATATAACATTAAAAAACGAAATTATTTTTGAATTTTTTTTATTTTAACTTGAATAGATTAAATAAGTTTTATTTTATTTAAGCTCTTCCAGTTNAAAAATTCATAGATTAAATTTTATAGAGAAAAAACTTTTTAAAACCAGAACTACAATTATTTAGACATCGAACTTCTTTTAATGTCTAAGATTAAATAATATTAAAAAATTTGTTATTACTACAAATATTTTAAAAAGCATTGTTCTCTTTAAGATATTTAATAAATAAGTAACAAATATAATTTAAATAATTATTATATTGAACTATTTCCCTATTTTACTTTGCGTTCTTGTTATAATATTATTTTAATTTGTCGTGTTTTATTTTACTTGCATATTAGAACAAATTGTAAAAATTATTATTGTAAATTATTTTTTATAATAATTAGAAAGAATATATTAAACTTCGTCTTATTGTTAAAATAAAATTAATTGAATTTAAATTTGTAATTAGAAAATTAATTTTGTGATCAGTATGGCCACTACTACTATTATAGCCTTTACGTAGCCCCATAATTAGGCATATCGTTTGACGTTTTTAATAATAAAAACGTCAAACGATATAACGAGCAATGGTTGTTGATGTTTACACGTAATGTGTGTAAACACAAGTTTGGAAAAATATTTGATCAGAAGCCACACTAAGATGCTACAGAAACGAGTGCTAAACACAGACTGATAAAGCATGCACACAATCCGGGACTTTTCTTCTTTTCGTCACTCGTTATGTGAAACATCGCTCGTTAAGAAAGAGAATTTTTACAATTTGTTTTGCTCGTAATGCGAAATACTCGTTAAGTGAGGTTCCACTATATTAGCATTTACAATCTTTTTTCATAAAATACATTTATACACTAAAAATTAAACTTGTTACCGTTTTATAATAACCAATTATATAAACTTGTTATAAAAAAAATTTAAAAACAGATGTTTTTAGTACTAAATATTGGTGGAATGGAAGTTTTTTTCTACAGTTGTGTTTGTTGTTTCAGTATTGGATTCTATCGGTAAACCTCCCTCGGGATTTTTACGAGGAACATTGTGGATGCGAGGTGATTACGATCAATGCCTTGATATCGAAACCATAGAAAATAAAATCATCCGAGGAAAATTCTGTTCAGTTCTTATGAAATTGCCAAAGTTACGACAGGATACAATGCAGATGATTTCTTCGTCCGACATCACAATCGTTCAATTATTGAAGAATCTCTCTGTAAGTATATAACGATAATTTTGTTATTTTTTACTGATAAAAATAATTTAAGTCAGTTAGCGTGTACATAGCTTAGTACAAGCCAGGTTTAATAATAACATTATAGAATATTGAAAATAACTTAAATAAATAATTATTTACAAGAAAAGTGAAACCAATTCCACATAATAGTCGTAAGATTTACAGATAAGATTTTTGGTGCTGATGGACGTAATCGCATTCTGTGTTTCCTTAATTATTTGAACTAATAAATACCGTAGTTAACTAATTTAAGTATAAGATATCACTTTAAGAGGTAATTCAAGTTACAAAATGTCAGTATTCTGTCAATGTTTGTCTACATGCTATGCGCGTACAGTCATTCATTACAACGTTCTGTACATAGCCATGCAGTATTATATAAGTTTATAAGCAGCGTCAGTGCCGTATAAGTTTCAATAATTTTATTTATTCCTGTATGCTCGTTTACCACGAAATCTAATTAATACAGTAGAAACAGAATATAATTCGGCGATTTGTTCCTGTGTAGAAAGGCAAAGATTATTTCTTATATATCAACGCCCAGAACAGTACATTAGGAAAAACTGCTACAAACTTGTCAAAAATAATATTCTGACAACCTTTCATCAAACATGACATTCCGCATAAAACTAACAAAGTTCTGTTAAAGACTGCAACAAGTTTTTCCTAAATAGTTATAACTCCAGGTGCGATATATATGTAAAATATGTTTATTTTGACAATCTAGAAAAACACAAATATTCACTTTATAAGGCAGGTGTGTTGGCACTATTAAGCTATTTGATCCGAATCTCGATGGGAGAACAGTCATTGAATATGAAATTTTTAAAAGCTACTATTCTTCACTAAACTCGCTAAACGTTATGGGCATAGTTACCGTTTTATTCCTAAATTTCTCGTAGAGTTATATATTTTTTTAAATATTTCTTTCATCTTGCCGATTTGACTTTAAATTTAGCAGGAAATTACTAAGTTGGCAGTATGTAATGTTTCGCGAATGACTTTTACTCTAGATGATATCATTTTGTTTACTTACAGATGTACTTCGGATGTTTTCAGTTGAAAGTCGATTAAAAATTTAAGTACAAACTTTCCTAAAAAAAAATGATATGTATTCTGAAAACATTAGTTGAATAAGTTTCATCGATTATTTCTTAACATTAATGCAAATCAGTATAACGTTTTCGTTATTGCAATACATAACCTTTATTATTTAATTATTCTCTTTAGCAGCTAGTGTCTTTTACAATTTACATACAGTAAAATTCCAAAAGCCTTTATCAGTACAAGAACAACTTTCAATAACGAAGATCTTCTACTTTGAATTTTTAACGCCATGCTTAATGTCTGTTATTTGTATCATTTACAAAAAGTTGAACCAAACGAATTTGAAATCGCTGCTTTCTAATTAAACGTGTATGTAGCGTCTAAACGTGATTACTGCTGATATACATAGGATTTGAAGGGTATCAGGAAGCAAAAATAGCAAAAATACAGTCGTTTATAAACTAGAATAATGTTGTTCTAAAACCCAAAACATTAATCGCATTGTAATTCTTGTGATTTTTCAGAAACCATTTTCTATATCTCAAATTGTAAGCTTGTTGGACGATCTGCGTTTAGATGTTTGTATTCCAGATTCCTGTAGTGAAAATGACTTGGAAAATATTGGAAATTGGCGTAAGTTTATTGCAGTGAAATAATAAAAACATTTACATATTGTTCGTAGACAAATATTTGTAAGTAAATTTACCTTAATTTTAATAACTCAAATATTTTTTTATACATTATAACATTATAAAACATTATAAAAATATAAAACAGAACCTTATACTGTAATTAATATTTTTTATTTATAATATATTTGACAGTTATTTTTTAATAGTGTAACTTTATGTTTATTTTTTTAAGTGATAGGGAATTACGTAGAAATTGAAGTAGAATTCTGTAAAACGAAAGAAGAGAAGAATGAATATTCAATGCCTCAACTAATTTGTTTGTAAGTTATTTTTATATTCATTTTTTACTTATTACGCTACAAATTAAGAATATATCCTTCGTTAACCACTGCCACACGATCGCCCTTGACGGATATATATACATCGGTCACTGCCGAGTGTTAATAGTAACAGACAATGACATAATTTACAATCTTAACGTACATTGAATGAATGAACTTTTGAATGAACTTTTGAATGAACTTTTGACTGTTTCGATTTTCCTGTTTTTAGTTCTCCAGTTTAAGTGAAATGTATCTATCGCTGGAAAGTGTTCGATTTTATAAAGTAAAAAAAAATTTAAATAATTCACAGAAATATCAAAAAGGTTATTTAAATTTTTAAATATACTGAATACGATAAAAAAAATTTTCAAAACTTTGCACACGACAAATGGCAAAACACAATCAAAATACTTTAATAGTTTTTAATGACGGTTTCTTTTACATTTAAAAATTTTTTTTATATTTTTTTAAACATCTGAAAACAAGCAGAAAATCATTATTTTTTATTGCAGAATTCTAAAAACTTTCCATTTGATCATTTTTATTTCCTTTCTGCGATATCTTCAATTTTGGAAAAAGAAAAATACATTTGGGCCTTAATCTACCACGTCGATTGAAAAATTACGAAAGTGTTACTTTAAAAAGGAAAAAAAATCTAAATGAAATGTTTGTTGCTAAACATTATCATCATGGAAAAATCGACTGAAGGCAAATCACTTTCGAATTTTTTTTTTTTTTTTTTTAGCAGTTTACACAATTTTCTGCAAAATGGACATATACTTTTTCTCTTCGATTTTCACTCTTTCTAGTATAAATTTAAGAAAGACATTTACTGTGAAAATACGATACTAGCGGAAAATTTATCTTCTAGTTGGATATCCTGGTTTTTTCCGCTTTTAGATCGGCTGCCATCCATCGACGATTGATTTGATTGGCGTTTTGTTTTGGGATCTTTTCTTAAGATTCAAATCTGACTTCTGCTGATTACGTTGTTACCTGTCCATATCTTTTTGTTTTCAACTATCTGAAACCTGTTTTGAAAGACATTTATTTCATTTTTTGCTACGGCATCAAAATCCTCAGAGCGATTATGCCGGTTTTTTTAAACTAAATTCTTTATAAATGATTGAATGAAATAGCCTGTATGACACTGATTTCTTCAACAACCTCTCATTTCATTATCCTCTGATTTTTGGATAACAAGTGCTTAACTTTTTAAACAGCTACGTGTTGCTTCACCGTTTTTGGCAAGATCTTTAATGCAATGGGTTTAAAGTCGGATTGATTTGCGGTGGTTTAAAAGTATTTTGTATTTTTAACACTCTGTTGTTATTTTTATTGAACCTTCATCAAAAGTTTTTTATGTCATCGAGAATCTCTTACTAAAAGATTCCTTTAAAGCATAAATTTATATAAATTCTTTTTTGAAAATCGTCGAAACGATAAATTACAAATGCTTCAAATGTACAAAACACACAGACCATCAAGTAATTGTTGCCAAGCGTTCAGTAACAAGCTTTATAAACATACTGAAATACTTTACTCAATTACGTTTTTATATTAAGTCAGTTCAGGAATTTTTTATTATACATTTTTTTTCATATTTGTTGTATAAATACTGCTTTTACATCTATTAAATATATATCATATAAATGGTGAAAATGATTTATTAAGAACATTAAGATGAAAAAAATAATTCGAATTGGGGTTTTTGCACCATTAACAATTAAGCACCTTAACAAAAAAATTTGAATGTAATCAATTAACAAACAAACATTTAACAAAATTAGTGGTCATTGCTGGATATTGAAGGTTCGCAAGTACTCATTTAAAGAGCGAATGTTTATTTTTCTGTAATATTAATTAATTTAATGACATGATGCCTTTAACATTTAAAAATCACTAGTGAATGACCATATGGCTTTAGTAATTGACCAGATAAGGGATAGTGAATGACTGAAAGTAACTAATAATAAATTATTACAATTAAGTAACTATAATAAAAATATTAGTTTTTTAAAAAATGCTTTATTTTAAAAATATCATATATACAATGTTATATACAAATAATCAGTTTGATAATCTATAGAAAAGTGTCTTTCATAAGTAGACATTATTGCAATAATAATTTTCTAAATTTATCTGGTTGTTATCAAATGCAATGGCTTCCTTGAAATCTAATAAAAAATTAAGTGTAATATTATTTTCTACCGTTTGCAGGGCACATTTCTATAGTTCTTCATAATTAATTGAATAATCGTGTTCATTTACGGTATACAATTCCTTACGCCTAGTACAAATACTTTCTGAATAATCCACCCTATTTAGATCAACAGGAAACAAACCTCATCTTTCAAACCCATGTTGAATTATTTTCAATTTCAAAGCTTTCTCGGGAGCTTCGAAGAATAAAACTGCAAACTTAGTTTTGTAAACTAACTTTGATAATTATTGTTTGTGTTTTCTGATATTCTTATCCATAAGCAAGGTAAAAAACATTTGTAACATAAATTCATAAAATGTGGCACTTATCATCTATCCTGAATTACTTCTGCCTACATTTGGAACTGAATATGTAATATCTCTTAGAATTCTCTTGTATGGGAACACTATCATAGGATCCATTGACTGGCCACTTCCTGAGAAATTAAATAAAACTTTGACACACTGTTTTTCTTGTCCTGACGCAATGTCATAAAAAGTTCTTCTATGCTTGAGGTCCTACAAGTTTGCCAGTATTTGGACAAAATAACATACCTGTCTTATCTGTATTGAAGTTATGAAAAGAATTTGAAAGTATATCACATGCCTGTTCTTTTCTCAAATAACTTATTCTTGAAACCAATTCTTTATCATCTCTTCTGAAAGTACTGCACAAGCATTAGCTATTATTCTGTAATTTTTGCTGCTACATTAGGGAGCTATTTTAGAATAATACCTATCTATTTTTTAATGAATGTAGCTGCGGGACTCATTTCTCCCTTTATTGGTACTTTTTTAGGTAATTTATTTATTAGAATTCCATATAGAATGATAAGTTCTTTGCTAGCCTTACTAGCACTTATTTCATTTTCTCGTACTGTTTCTACAGCTACATGCAAATCTTCTCCACTACATTGAAAACATCTGTAAACATTTTTCGTTTTATCTACTTCATCTGCCATGTTGAATTTATCTAAAAGTTAAATTTAAATGACTTTAGATTTTCATTTCAAACCATGTTAATATGCAGCAATGAATGCCCACATAACTTTAAACCATTATCACTTACTGGTACAAGTTATTTAATTCATTTATTTCTAAGAATAATCGATCCTTTTGATTTTCTATATTTTAATCGTTATTCGAAAATCGTTATAACTTATTCTTTAGATAAGTGTACGTAAACTAAACAAAACTCTTTACAATAAATTTATTTTTATTGTAGATCCGTGTTCGGCGCTTTAATAGTTTGCATAATCTTAGCAACATCCGTTCATACTTTGTTGAAATTACAAATAGTTAGCAAGGAAAGGATAAACGGTAAGTCAATTGCGTATATTTTATGAAGGAACATATACATGTTCATTTTTTTAGTTATTCTGCAGATAATTTATATACTTTTCATTATTATTAATAATTTAACACATCTTATTTATAGGGAAAATATTTGATATTGTTGTTTCTATATCGGCACTCACCACTTCAAGTAAATTGTTTTCCAACAACATTTACGAGAAGACAAAAGCTCTAAGCGGAATCAAAGTTTTATTGTTGTATTGTGTTATATTTGGTCACATTACGACAACTTCCGAAATAATACAGACAATTTTCGGTAATTATGTTTGTAATAAGCAATACGTTGTTATTTTTTGAACTCCCGAAATATAGTTCTGTAGAAAAGTGTCTTCCCAATATCAGAATTATATTTTATAAAATTATTCTCCTACGGTTGTTTATAAAGAGACATCAGTTTATTCTTAGANCCGTAATTTTTCAACCTTTTACACTTCTTTATCTTTTTGTCTTTGTTTTTTTTCCCGCACTTGGGTCTATAATCCTTTGATTCACAACTCCAGCTTTATTTAGTATTTATTCCAACGTTGCAAGACTTGACTACATTGGGCCAAATGTGGCTACTTTTTTTCTTTGAAGTAAAAAATATCATTTGGCGCTTTGGCTGCATTTTCGGCTACATATTATTTATGATTATATTAATTGAATAAAAACACACTTTAAAATGGCGTTTCGTCGCTTATTATTATTAATTAATTAATTAATTAGAGATCCAAATAAAACAAATATTTGTGTTTCTCAAATAAATTTTCGTTTGTCTCTTTTATAATAAATAAATTTATCTATTTCTAACTAAAAATTAAAAGTGTCTATAGAAGTAATTTTTTTAAATATCCTTTTTCTTGATAAAGTTTTAATACTTATTATTACAATCTAGACATGTTAATTCTTAAATTTGGGCCACAATTATATATATTATATATACTTGTGGCCCAAAACTCCTTGACTTCTTCCAATGAGGCCCAGAGAAACAAAAAGGTTGGACACCCCTGATATAGATGTTCATTTGTTTTAAGTTACTCTGCAGATAATTTATATACATTTTATTATTATTAATAATTTAACACATCTTATTTATAGAGAAAATATTTGATACTGTGGTTTCCATATCGGCACTGACTACTTCAAGTAAATTGTTTTCCTGCAATATTTACCAGAAGACAAAAGCACTAAGCGGAATCAAAGTTTTATTGATGTATTGTATTATATTTGGTCACATTATGACAACTGCCGAAATAATACCGACTGTTTTCGGTAATTATGTTTTGTAATAAGCAATACGTTGTTATTTTTCGAAATCCCAAAATATAACTTTGTAGAAAAGTGTCTTGCCAATATCAGAATTATACTTTATGACATTATTTTCTTACCGTTGTTTATAAAGAGACATCGGTTAATTCTTAAGATGTTAATAGGTCTGACAATTCAATGAAACATTTATTTACTTAACATGGTTATTTACTATTTCAAAACTGAATTTAAAATGTTTTGCTTTAATAATGTTTTCAACCTTCAAACTCTTATAATGTTTTGCTTCAAAATTAAAAAGTACTAAATTATTAATTATATATATTATTACTTGTATTATCAATCTTTTCAACTCTTACTTTATAGTTCTACATATCTAATTTCATTTCGATAACATTATTAATCGAACTGAATATTCTTGTATCTGAAGTGTTAAAATATAAATATACGTCAATAAGTGAATAATTTTTAAATATTATTTTAAACTTTATTGCAGAAAAACGTATAAATTTTTCAAGAATAATCAATTACATACCAATAGAAATTTCTTATATTTCGTTTGCATTCATTGAAAGTTTTTTCTTAATCAGGTAAGATATACGCAAACCTGTTCTATTAAGATAATTATGCAAATTTACTTTTATGCCCTTTAAATATTTTAGAATTCTCTTTAACTTTTTATGTTTTAAATACAATAGCAGGTGATCGTAATTAAAACATTCATATTAAACGCTGTGTAAAGAGATATTTAGCATTTAATAAAATAGTTGTTCGGATAAATAAGTTTAAACATACAAAACTAAATAAATTTTTAATATAGAATTATATCAAGTACATTACGTATTGTTTAATTGTGCCATCGCCACAGGAAAGATTTTTAAAACGTTACATATCGATGCGTAGGAATTACCTCAAGTAAAACGTCGACTACTCCGTAAAAATATTAATTACTTCATCTGTGTGTAAAAGAACGAATATAAAAGATACTTTTGTGTCTTTTCTATTTTAAAAATGTTTTTAACTTTTGTATGCTCAAACATTCAGCTATTTAAATTATATCAAATTTGGAACGGTAACATTACACGTTATGTGATGACAAGATCAGTTCGAAAATATAATACGATAGCACTTCATCAGAGTGTTTGTAGAAAATATAATATAAATGTGAAGGTTATTCGTGCATAAAATACTACTAAACGTAGTCTCCATTTTGAAGTGTAAATCATGTCGTAAAATCAATTATAATCAGCTATTGAACATGATAGTCATATTTTTCAGAAATTAAAAATTGTACACTTATTAGTTTCCAGTGTCCTCTGGCTGGCTGCATGTCTATTTTTCCTTATTCTCGAAAACGGAGTTAGATAAGTGTAAGCCGAGACAAGATATGGAAAGATTAGTGATCACTAAAACCTGATTTACTATACTAAAAAATGTCATCGTATAAAATTTGTTGCATTTCCGCTGCTAAATATCATTGTAAACAGCATTCACTAACTCAACATTAATTATAACCGTCTATAGTTACTGTTTTATAACTGTTTATTTTTTTGCAAATACAATAACTTAGTATATATATACGTAATAGTATTTAAATTTATAGTACATTTAAATTATTATGTTATGAATTGCTGTATAATCAAATAGCTTATAAAATAATTTGTATTTATTTTTTTATTTAGTGGATTACTAACATTTTACACACGAAAACAAAAAGCAAATTCAAACATGCAATATCTGCAATTCATAATAAACAGAGCAATCAGGTAAAATAAAGGAAATCAAATTCTTGCATAAAAAAGCTTTTACTTATATAAAATGCACGAAAATTTTTCAGGTTAACACTACCAGTTCTTTGTGTTGTGGCCACGATAATTATTTTACCTCTTTTGGGCGATGGTCCACATTGGGAAGACGTTAAACGTGAGGCTAAATTTGCAGAACAACATTGGTGGGAATATGCATTTCATACTCACATTTATATGAATTATCCATATAAGGTAATTGTTCTAAATATCATCTCAATAAATATTTTTATTGTATATTTAATCTATGTACTTTTTGAAATTGCAGGTTTTGTTTCATGTTTGGTTTATGAGTGATTTGTTACAATTAGCGATTATCACAGCACCATTGTTATTCTTGTGTGACAGGTAAAGAGATAAATTACTTATATGGTAACTTAGTGATATTATAAAATTTAAATCTTTGTCAACCAGAAAGTACAAGAATTATTTGCAAAATAATTAAAATTATATATAACTTCGTTTTTTAATTAGATACCGGTTAAATAATTAATATAATAACTATAAAGATATTTTTCAAAAAAAAAATATTTGTAAATCTGACATTATAAAAATTAGTAAAAAATGTACAGAGTATCGTACATCAGTAATTTAATGAATAATTAAACCTGTGCAAAATAAAATCCGAATAAAACAGAAAAGATTCTTCTACGATAAAATTAAAGAAAGGCAAAATCAAACACTTTCAACAATTAAATGAGAATTTCAGATTTGGTTAGTCGATAATAAAAACCATAGTTGATAAATAAAACGATAAAAATAAGACTTACGTGCTGCCAATTTACTCGTATCTTCTGTGAAGGGCTACTACCTAATTACAGTAGCGAAGCTTAGTGGGGGTAACACATTTTAGGGGGCGGAAAATTTTCACAATAAATAATAACAATATCCTGTAAAAATTTGAACCATTCATTTCATATTTTTATGACACCTACGATTCGAACGGATTGAAATGCGCACGGAATTTTTCATTACGTATTCTGTGACGAAACTGAATTTTAGTCTTTTAAATAATAAATAAGGGGGCGGCGAAATTTTCCTCCGCCCCGGGCGGCTGGTACCCACGCTACGCCACTGCCTAATTAGCATCGAATATACGAGAAGAAATTGATTACGATCATGGAGACTGATAAAGGACAAAGTTAGGAATAGTAATTGGAGTATAACAATTGCTGATGTTGACACATCACATAATAATTTCACTGTAATGCGATTACAATTACGCGAAACCAGATTTTAGTTTCAAATTCGCTTATTCATTGTCATGTGTGCATATGAGAACTTCATATGAGATACTCTAATATCTAGCCAAATTTTCTTGTAAAATGCACAATATTCAGCAATGACATTTTTATAAATTCTTTTATTCGAATGCTTTAATATCCGCAGTTTCAGTCACTAATAATTTGGATTAAGTCGAGTAATATCGTGTTCTGGAATATATAAAATGGCGCAAATGTGCGACAGTTTTGTGATATATTTTTAAAATGTAGGAGAAAAAGAGAAACTGTAACAATGGAAGACAACCAAAATGAAAATGAATTCATTACTGTGATACTCCAATATATACGGGTTTTTAATGAATATTTTATTTACTCGTTAACGATCATTAAAAAACAATTCAAAGTGATTTAGTTTCATTCATAAGAAAAATATAAGGCTAGTAGGCCTATATTAGCTGGCCGAAGTAGTGTGACAAAATATTTCGTGTTAGAAATAGCGTATCTGAAAATATTTTCTCTGTTTGGAAGTGGGCGATTTTTTCGTTGAAAGAAAATATTAATTATTTTGTAAATTTCGGCTTAATTTATTTCGAGAAAATTCACAATTATACTGTAATTGTTAGCAAAACTTTTTCGACATAAAATTTCAAATATAAGTCGAACTTTTTGCTGACAGTTCTGCTTTTCTCACACTGTAGATTAATTAAAAGTATTTTATTAATTTATTATTATTTTACTGATAAGATTTGTATATATTTTTTTATTTTAGATGGCCGAAACATGGGCAATTTGTAATATTTATGTTACTTATTATCGGCATTACCTCACACGTGAGTTACATGGTGATGACAGACACCTTCCTTTTCATTGGATACTCTTATGACAAGGAGTATGTTTTAGTAATATTATAAACTTTGAGTAAATTATTTTACATTTTTAATTATTTACATAAATCTTACTTACTATGGCAATATGAAGCAAAGGGATAAATATATTGAAAAACACATATATATATATTTATGTATATAAATATATGTGCTTTCAATATGTATGTGTTGTTAATTTATATAAAATACTTATGATGTAATATACATGATAGATTTCTGTATTAAACAGGTTCATACAGAAAGTATTTAGATTACAATTCATGAAGCCATAAATCTTTTTTTGCTTATCAAAAAAATTTAAAACAATAATAAAAACTTATACATTATAATATAGTTAGCATGCCATATGCAAAAAATAACAATTTTATGAATTTTATTTACAGAAAATTGTATACTTATTTATTTAATAATTATACAAGACCGTACTACTCGCACCTCACTTCTTATTGCACGGGTTTATTAATTGGAAATATCCTGGCAAACAAAATGGAGATGAAATTCAAAAAAGTAAGTCATCATTCTCAGATTTTCGATATCGTATTACACGTATTGTAACATAAGTCATGTTACAAGTAAAAGTTATATTGGGAGTTAAGGTTAACATGCATAAAATCATCAGTCAAAATATTAAAATTCAGAATATTTGTCATTATTTAATCAGCTACACTTTCAGTTTCATTGATGTTTATTTCTTTTAATTTATAAATACTAAACTAGAATTTTATTTTTATTGTCATCGTCAGTCTATTTATGATGAAATTACATATATACAGTAGTGAGTCGATTATTCGAATCAATTGGGGACTGGGGTTGTTCGGAAGATCGATGTTTCGGATAACCGATTATGTACGAATAAAATATATTAATTTATCCCATCTTGACATTTTTCTCCGTTGCGTGTCGCTTCGCGTTTAATTTCCGTCGATGTTAAGCCTGACGAAGACTATTGTATCGTTAAAAATTATTTTTTTATTTTGTACGTACAAAATAAATATATTGAAAAATATAAAAACGATAAAAAATAATACTTCAGAAGTTAATTTAGTATCAAAAACGTAAAATATTTGAGTAGCCCAAGACATAGCCAAAGATTACAGCGCCACAGCACTAGCGAAAATTTAAATTTGTGAACTGGAATTCTTTCGGATGATTTACTTTCGGATAATCGACGCTTTACTGTATAAACATTTAAGAGAACTTACTGAAAATTGGAGACAAGAGTTCTTTATGATTTCAGAAATGATATTACAGGTAACCCCCGTATAACACGGTAGTTACGTCCAAAAAATTGCCGTTTTATGCGAATCCGTGTTATACGAAACAAAGAACTAATACGAAAAGGAGGGTTAGGTTCCAAAAATTAAAAAACATGCTAGTATATTTTCATAATTAAGATAAATATCTTCATTAAAAATTTTTAAGTGATACATGTTAATATAAATTAAACAATGTTTTCTTCGTCATCCCTAAAAACACTATTAATTAACAGAGAGCGTTTTTTTGGCAAGTTATCCTTATCCTCTGAGCATTTTTCTGCATTATCTTCAGATCTGCATTATCCTTTTGCAAAATGTATGTAATTTTAGATTGCTTGCTTCTAGTTAAAAGGACTTTATAAATTTCCTTATATGGTGCTAAGCACTTATGAAGAATAAAGCAAGTATGGAATAAGGGAAAAACATTCGGCAACATCAGAAGCAGAAGCGTCGCGATCTGGCAACATTGAAACAAGTTTCGAGAAGGACCACGTGTATCGACAGAAGGCGAGAAGAAAAAATTTACATACTTAAGTACTAATAGTTCACGAAAATAATAATTTTCGTGAACTATTATTACTTAAGTATGTAAAAATTAATTACATTTCCTGTTGTACGAGGGCTATACCCAATTCTCGAACCGTGTCACAGTAAATCCGTGCTATAAAAGTACCGTGTTATACGGAGGTTACCTGTATATAGTTAAAAAGATATATGGGCGATGTCTTTATCTTATGAAAGAATAACGTAAGATAAATGAATTCGTTAATAGAATCAATGCTAACAACGACGGCGTAAAATTGAGAATAAAACAAAAAATTTCTTTAACAGTATATTTTTTAGACATAAACATCCAGTTTAAAAAAGTGTATTTATCCATTAGTGTTTACACGAAACCAACGCTTTACATCTTTCCGCAATCAAATGATTTGTATGGTTATAAGCTGGCAGCATTCCGAACTCTAATCAGAAGGGCCTTTTTATATTGTGTCAGTGGTGTGGACAGAGCAAAGGAAATTGACAGAATTGTACAAGTAGCCGAAGCCCTAGGATACAAAATAAAGCACAATATCAAGTATAGCTAGAAGATACGAGGTGAGCACAACAAGGGCTTTAAGACATGATTTCGGTAAATTCACAAAGTTTACATATAACAGAAGTACGAAAAACATTATGAAAGAAATTGCGAATCGCAAAGAATCAAGAATGATTCTGAAATAAGCTCCGAACCTATATAAAGTTTCAAGAAATGACAAAGATGACATCAAGAAAGAAAAAAGCAAGTAAGTACAAGATTCTTGACGAAAACGTACAGCTAACAATTAAAAAAGATTATATTGGCGTCGCAAAAAGAAATTTGGGAGTAAAACTCAAAGAACATAGATATAACATCGGAAAAGGTTCCAAGACAACAGTACTTTCCCAGATGGAGCAGACCCAATGGTCGATAGTAAAATGGGATGAAGCGAACATTGTCAAACCCTTGCTTTTCCCAACAATAGCAAGGACTGCTGAAAAAATTGAAATATACAAGAGCAAACTGGAAGAGGCGTGCATAAATGCAAGGGACGCAAAACATCTAAATCGGCTTCGAAGTTCATAGTCAAAAAGTTTTCATGAACTCTTAATTTATACTTTAGTTTATAAATGCACATTATATCAATTATTCCTTTATGTTCAAAATTTAATATATTTGAGTTCGTTTTTTATTACAGTTTGCATTTTGCTTCATATATATATATATATTATTTTTTTATCTATAAGTTATTCTTATGTCATTTTCTTGTTTTTACTCCGTTGTCAAATTTTTTTAATTTAAATGTATTCCATCCTATGTAAATCCATTTCAACCTGAAGATGACCTATAGAATAGGTTTTAGTTTTAAAGAAAACTATTTTGGAAACGAAAAAGGAGTGTTACAATTGTCTATTGTATATATATACAGCGGCGGCCTTATCCATTGCGAGGCTCTGGGCGGCAGATCTTTGCGAGGCCCTTGTCCTTTGTGCAAAGTATGTGAATTGAAATAGTAGGCACTTATTAATATTAATATATACTGTACTATAAATTAAATTTATTTTATTGTTATAACTAATAGCCAAGGATAAAATACAAAGTTTTAAATATCAACTTTTTTCTACTTGGTTGTTGCGCGAGGCCCCTCCAAGAGCGAGGCCCCGGGCGATTGCCCTGCTCGCCACCCCCTAAGGCCGCCACTGTATATATATATATAAATACATACTAGCAGGTAGACCCGGCGTTGCTCGGGCAAAAGTAACGATAGTGAAGATTAAGTTTATTACGTTATAGTCAACCTCACCCGTTTTTACCGAATGCAAGAATTAGGTCCTCCTGTTTCCGGACTAATTAGAGAATTTTTAGATGGGTCTAAAAATATGTTCGATTTCCTTCAAAAACGAAAATAACTGCATCTGCGTCTTACACGTCGCTTTCTCTTAACAATTCCATTGTTACTTACCACTTCCATTGTTGATGGAAGTGTTAAGACTTAATCCTGTCCCTTTCCCCCGTGGGGAGGAATTTCGAAAAATTCCTTCTTAGTGTGCGTTCTCGTAACGTACCCTAACTGTGTACCAAATTTCATCTTTCAACTCGTAACCTTTTGGGCTCTGCACTTATTATTATTATTATTTTTATTTTTATCTTCAACCTGTATCGATTATATATATAGATTTTATTTTAATTGCAACAGTAGCTTTGAATTTTAATATTAGAATATACTGTATTACCGTGAAAAATTGGTAAGTAAAGGAACACCCTTGAAAACGAACAATATTAGTGGTTTATATGTGAGTTTTTGAGTGGCTATTTAACAATCTTAAAACCTATCAATTTCGACTGCTTTAGTTTGGAATTAACAGTGGCCTGCTTGGTGGCAATCATGTGGGCCTTGGCGTCGGAATAAAGACTTTTTAAAATTTAACAACAGTCGGATATTCCTATTTATCCTTTTTTTGTTGGTAGGTTTGTCGAGAGATCCATCAAACGGCTTTAAGTAATTGTTGCAGGAGTCAATATTAAAAAAACTAATTTATTTGCTACACTATTTTATATATTTCCTATATTTTCTGTCGATTTTAATACCATATTATTGATTCTTATCACATTATGGCGCTAAATCACGTCTGTTATGTTTTTCAGTAGGGACATAGTAGGCAAATAAGTTATTTTTCTTTGACATGTTTTCGTGTATTACAATTTCACTTTAAGTCTTTTCAGTTCTTCTGCTTGCATTTTCTCACAAATACAAGAAATATGGAATAAAGAAATTACAACGAAAGTCGGAAAAAATTACCACAGGAAAGAATTTAACAATGCTTTTTTAAAAGCCTGTTTTCAAGACAAACAAAAACGGCTAATATATAAATTAAAACATAATGTATGATAAGGGGGGGCTTTTACCCGAAATGCTAAAGTGTGGTGGCATTCAGAATTATCTAAATTAAAGATGTATTATCTAGAAACTGTGATTCACTTTTTTCAATACAAGACCTAGTTCATCAGTACGTTCATACTAGACATAAATTATCCGTTTCATTTATTCGATACTTATATTACATATAAGTTATTTGGCGACTATTCAAGACATTTAAATTCTCACTGTTATCCATTTGTACGCCTGCCTGTCTTTCTTAATATCGAGAACAATATTAAATAAATGTAGTTAGAAACCAGATATGGAAGAATATGGACAATAATTCCAGATTAACCTTTCGGTTCCAACAAAAGTTACGTTATTTTTTAATTCAAACTTGAATACTCTTAATTTAATTAGATGGATAACCGGCACATCTCTATTGTTAGCATAATAATTACAATGTACAGGATCAAGACACTACCAATTTGTTGTGAAGAGCATATATTTTAAATTAAATAAATTAAAATTACCTACTAAATTGCATCCTGGCATTGAGACCATGTCACTATAAATAATTGTTCGTATTTTATATATGGTCGACGGCTTTTTCAAATTTCAAACATAAAGCAGGCCAAATTAAAACTACTTATAATAAAAATTTAAACAGTTACGAAAAAATATTTTAATTTGAAAACATTTATTATTTTTTTTCAGATTTACCGTGTAATCTTCTGGATAATTTCCTTGTCTTTATTGATGTATTCTACATTTGGATTGCACAAACAAATCACTGAAGTGTCTCCAAACAAATCTCTTGTTTTTATTCACAGAGCTTTGTCACCGTTTATGTTGATAATTGGACTTTCTTGGATATGTCTAGCTTGTATAACTGGATATGGAGGTACGTCGATTGCACAATTTTATATTTGAAAGTATTAAAGTATAGAGAGTAAATATATTTTGCATTTTCAAAGTTAATGTAGAAAATACCGTTTTGAATTATTGCATTCACAAGCGAATCAAACATAACTGCCACTGTTTTGGAAAGTATTTTAAATAAAATATCAGATTTCTGATAAATTGTGAGGTAGCAACGCCCTAACTACGGTCCCGGTACAAACCAAACATGTCATATAACTTACGAATGATAAAAATAAGCAAACCTTTGGTTTGTATAATACTGTATATACAAACATTCATTGAACAACTAAAGTAGAATTTGGCTTTTCAATCGAAACGTTTGGATAACATTATTCTAAGAGATCGTTGAAGGAACAAACAATATTGTAATAACAAAATTTTTTCATGCATAACACTTTTGTATGGAATTTATTTACATTCTGTCTTTCCATTTATTTAATTAAATACTGTTTATTCTTTATAATATCTTTTATGTGTTTCAAAGAAGTTATATTTTGCGATTTTTCTATTTATGTTTATTTACCTTGATGGTTATTTTAATATTACAACAGAAACTAGTATTCAATGAAGTGCATTGATTTTTAAAGATATAATATATTTTTATAGTACTTATATTTCTAGAAAAATTTTAATAATAGTTATTTTAATATTCGTTATTTATAAGGCAAATAATGAATGAATAATAATGAATACTTAGAAATATACGTCCGCATTTACTGCTTAACATATTGTTTATTACGTTGTGTAAGCATATAGAATGATTGTATTGTCAGATATATTTTTAATGTTTTCGAATTTATTTTTTTATTTTTAGGAGTTGTTAACAGATTTCTGTCTATAAAAGTCTTCAGCATTTTAGATCGTTTGAATGTATGGATTTACGTGCTTCATCCTCTAATTATACTTTATATTTATACTCAGCTTCGAAAGGCAGCAACCTTTACTATGATAAATATGGTAATTTTATATTTTTATAAATAAAATAATAATAATTTACAAATTTTCCCATAAAATAATACATACATATATCAATGTTTTATTTTCTTATATTTATTTCTTTATATATTTGTATAATATCAGTGAAATTGTTGGGCCAAAGATTATTTATAATGTTATACAAATGTCTTATGTAGTATAAGAAAAAGAAATACTGATAAAAATAATATTATTATATGAATAATGTTTTACTATAACAATATTTTAAAACCGTTAATACAATAAGCGAGCATATAATAAAAAATACGTTTTCATAAATACTCAAGTTGATCTTTCTGAGAGAATTTTGTGCATGCCGGATAATCGAGGCCAGGATTAGCGAGAGATTATTACGTAGAATGTAGATTTAAAAGTCATATACTTCACAATATTTGTAATATTTATTTATTACCTTTAGCAATATTATTGAAATAACATTATTCGAACAAGCAAGTGACAGTTTAGAATTGTTCAAAGATTACTGATAAATAAATGTATGATGTCGAAAATTCATACAAAGCGGAAATGACTCGTTAATAATGTTCATAATTATTTCATAGATAAACAATTCATAATTCATTTTAAGTCTTCTATCAAATAAAATATAAAGACAGATTATAGAATTTACGTAATGAAGTTTTTTTTTTCATTCAAATAGAGCAATAAATTAGTTTCGATTAATGAGTAATAAACGAATAAGTAATGGAATATTTAATTATAATAATAAATAACGCTAAATCGGAGAACATTTTCATACAATTGCTATAAAGTTCGAAAATATATATATATAATTATTAATTTCTAAATCATGTGCGTAGGAGATGATATTAATCCTTATTAAAATAAAATTTTATGGGAGCAGATAGTTAGATGATTAGCCCGAGTGTATTGTTAAATAAAAAGTATAATTTAAAGACGCAAACCAATTTCAAGTTGATATGTTATAATTTAAATTCTTTAAATTTAAAATATATCACTCAAGTGAAACAAACATTTGTGAAATATTAGATTGGAACTAAAAAAATGAAAATTGCTAAATATGATTTAAAATTATATTTTAAGTATTTATGTTGAAGTAAATAAGTGTACAGTGGCTAAGGATTTATTGAATAAACACTGTATTTTTAAGTTAAAACGTCAGAAAATTTTCGAAAAAATAACAAGTACAGTAAATAATTCAGAAATAAAACAATTTGAGTTCTATTACTCAACTATTTTCGATACATTTAAATTTTAATTGTGTTGTTAATATTAATTTTTTTTTCAGTGGATGCACTTCACCTTAATCCTGTTCCTTTCGCTGGTTGTATCTTTCATCTATTACATCTTTATCCAAGCTCCTCTCGACTTTTTGGTTCTCAAATTGTTAGGTTCAAGATCAAGAAAGAAAGCTTCAATCGAAAATTGCCAAATAACAACCATAAGTATGCGGCTTCAATCCGACTGATATGAACAGATTGTGAAAAGCAGGTTAATTATATTAAATTGTGTTTAACCGATGTTTTAAGAACTTATATTACATGAAGAAATTTAACATATACTAAAATGTATTCACATGTTATACCATTTTATTAATAATGAATACTTAGAAATTTTCATTTTGTCAAACGGAATGAAAAATGTTAAGAGTATATATCAATATTTTGTATACGAACAGTCAAAGTATTTTTGAGTTAATAAATTACTTAAAAAACTAAAAAATTATGTGCATTTAAGATATATTTTAAATAGTAAAAATTATGTGTAAATCTGTACTTCATACTATTTTGGAATTTTCAGAATTCATATGAATATTAATGTGAGTGACTTGATAACAAAATTGGAGTAAAATTCATTGCATTGCGTATACGATAATTTTAAATATGTAGTTATTTTCACAATGACAAAATAATTATTACAATTTTTATTGCTGATGCTGTCCACTTTCTGATTAGAGGTATGAAAGGTGATGGCAGAAATTATCATTGCGTATATATAGCTTTAGTAGGCACAAAAATACTTCTGGTAAACTGACATACTAAACATAGCTAGCTGCTGTGGGGTTATTTATTGTTCTCAATTTATTCATAATGTAGTAATATATTTCACAAATAACTTATGCTTGCATTTGACTAGGAAATAATTTTTTTATGAATGTTCCATTTTTATTAATTTCCAGATTATTTGTTTTTGAGGAGTCCTCCTCCTCTCACTGAGTGTTCTTTGCAAATGTAGCAATTCGCTTTATGAATGAAAAACTGCACTCAACAGAAGCACTTGTAGATGGAAAGGTGAATATTAATGATATTAAATCATATAACACTTTTTGTACATGTTTGTTTAGATTGTCATCAGTTATACTTTTATCTCTAAGAGGGACTTGCCAATGTCTTCTGGATACGCATGTTTATTTATTTTTTTAAACTAAACGACACTATGACCATTGGCCTATTCCAAGTTTTTATGTCTGAAAATCTCAATACAATTTTTATCGATGTATCCATTATCTCATAAAAAGACGTTTATATAGTTCCTTTGTAGACCCAATATTAGTAAGTCTGATTCGTTTTTTCGATAGAATTTCAGAAAAATTTTTATTTTCCTTCCGAAACATTCCAAATCAAATCAGTCGTCTTCTTATCTTTCGTAATAAGTCAATGAACTGCTTTATTCTAGTAATACAATATGCTATATTAAAATTGATTTGTAATACATTAATTAAATCTGACTGCATTTATTTGATAAATAATTAGTAATATACAGTGAAAATCAAAATTTATTAAATTATTGTATAAGCTTTTTGCAGCAGTTGCAGTATCAACCATATTCAACAAAAAAACTTTTAATTTTAGTTTATACTACATAACCAGTTCCCAATACTGCTATTATATTCTCGTCTGGTAGGTGTGACTAAAGAGAAACGTTTTTTGACTTCCAGGTCTAAAGCATGGATTTTTTAGATTTTCAAAAAAATGAAGAAAATCTTGTACAGTTTGAAAAAATATTTTCCATTCTTTGATATATTCAACATATTGAGAGAAAGTTAAATTCAATCTGTGAGCATAAGAGTGTATGAAAATAGAACGGTTCGATACTTCTTTAACTCTGGCTTTGACATTATTATGTTGTTTGGTCATTATGGCAGCACCGTCGTATGTTTGTGCCTCTAATTTTTAGTGCATTGAAATTCGCCTAAGTAACTCTTAATACGAGTAAATAACGTATTTTCGTCTCTAGCGTTCTCACTCACATTAGGAAATCCCACAAATCTTTTCATTCATGTAACCAAATACAGTCGACATCTAAGCTCTGCGTATAATGTCTGTTGTTTCATATACAATTATAGCAACAAATTTTGCGTTGTAATTTGCCTTTTTAATTACTTGCAATAAAACGTTTTCTAATAATTTAAAGGGAACATTCTGAATTACGTTCGCTAAGCCAGTAAAAAAACGTATATTTCTGTACATGTAATTTAATTCATTCTCTAACGACAGTGGCGTAGCGTAGTGGGGGCGGCAGGGGCGGCCCGTCCCGGGAGGCATTTTAGGGGACGGAAATTTTTCACAATTAATAATAATAATACCTTGTAAAAATTTGAACCATTTCATTTCATATTTTTAACACACCTACGATTCTTACGGATTGAAATGCGCACGGAATTTTTCATTACTTATTCTGTGACGAAAGTGAATTTTAATCTTTTAAAATGAGATACCTAAATAAGGGAGCGGCGAAATTTTCCTCTGCCCCGAGCGGCTGACATCCACGCTACGCCACTGACTAACGACTTAATAAATAAACAAATTCAATATAGTTACATCTGTTATTAGATTCAATATATTCTCTATGCCCTCTAAATGCCGTTTCTTGCTTTAATAAATAACATATAACATCTATTATTTTTACATCTGTTACAGCGAAACCTCGTTTAACGAGCATAATTCGTTCTAGAATGTTATTCGTAAAGCGAAACACTCGTTAAGCAAACAATGTTTCCATATAGTTTAATGTAAAATACGATAATGCGTTTCTTACCGAAAAAATACTCAAATATTTTATATATAATGTTTATTCAAAGAAAATTATACAATATAAATTGTTAAGAAGCGTGAACCTACTTTATCTTTTCTTTTAGTGCCGGATGAACGAACCTGAAATGCGAATTTAATTTGCTGAAAACAAAAAAAATCGAAATACAGTACAGTAATTTCTAATAGTTATAATAGCCTTTATATATCCCAAGAATTTGGCATATCGTTTGGTATGTTTATTATATAACGGGCTGTGGTTGTTGATGTTTATACTAATATGTCTAAACACAAGTTTGGAAAAATCTGTGATCATAAGCAATAGAAAAATGCTAGAAAACGAATGCTAAACACAGGCTGATGTAATATGCGCACAATTGGACACTTTCTCTCTCCTCGTCACTTGATATGCAAAACGTCGCTCGTTAGTGAGGCATTTTTTACAATCTGCTTTACTCGTTATGCGAATTACTAGTTATAAGAAGTGCTAGTTAGGTTTCACTGTATATCTGTTATCCCTAACCATCTTGTTATAATTTTCAATATTTATTTTATGCTATTCACTAATGCTAAAATCTGTTCTGTTTGATTTCAACATTGCTTCAATTTTATGAAAGAAGCGGTGTGACATTTACTATTTTCGTGTCTTTTGCCAACCCCTTGTACATTATTTAAATTATCAAAGCCATTATTTTTAACCACACACTAATTTCATTTAAAAATAGTATATAAGGCCAACAAAACAATTATTGTATTTTTATGATTTCACAAAACTAGCAGAGCACAAACGGTTAAGAGTTGAACGTTGAAATTTGGTACACAGTTAGGGTAAGTCACGAGAACGCATACTAAGATGGAATTTTTCGAAATTTTTCCTCACAGGGGGAAGGGACAGGATTAAGTCTTACACATTCATTAACAATGGAAGTGTTACGTAACAATGGAAGTGTTAAAAGAAAGCGACGACCAATACGCAGATGCAGTTTTTTTCGTTTTTGCGAGAAATCAAACATATTGAAGTATTTATATTTAATTTAAGTATTGTTCTTTTTTCTTTGAATAATGTTTTTTTTTTTATTATATGGTCGAGCTACAATTTTTTCAAAATAAATTTTTATTATCACAATTACATTCTAAATCGCTAGCAATCGTGGCTAGCGATTCAGAATAAGTGCTAAAGTTAAAAATAAAATTATAAAAACTTACTTGATTAAATAAAATGTGCGGTGGATATTCATACTTAGTAGAAAATATTCTTCAATTGTATGAACGTACTTTTAAAGAAAACTTTAACTAAATATAGCTTTGTAAAGAAACGTACATAAAGCAACTTGAAATATTCGTTATTTTTTAAATCTTAAAGAAAACCACATTGTAATAAAATACATAATACAGTTATAATAAAATATTAATTGTAGGAAATTGAAAATACTTTAAAATGTAAAAATAATCGCTTAATATGTATCATTATATTAGGAAATACGTTAGCGGCTCTTCCAGTTTCCATAGATTGAACGCCTTTGTAGTACACGTATGCAGCTTGTTGTTTATTGAGTGTCAAGAAAACAATATTGATCAAATTGTTTCATAATTTATAATATGATACTCAAATTTTTCTACCAAGCGTGTGGTGTATTTACTGTACACCACATAAATACATATATGTAATATCCAGTAAACCGACAGTGGTCCCATATATGTCGGATTACAGAGACTTTACTGTGAAATGCCGGGGGTTACAGGTCGTCACTGTAAACCTCTTTGATTGGAATCAGGACGATTAGGCACGATCACGTTGTCACTAGATGGCTTTGTTTCGAGTGGAAGAGGTCGCGGATAAGTCGCGATCGGGTTGGTCAGCGTCTAATAAGTCCACGCGAAATCAGGTTAATTAAACAACAAAAATAACAATTTAATAAACTAAATTAAAGCGTATAGGATTACATACAGGTATAAGCAACGTAACGTCCGGTACTATGGTCTACGGAATAAACTATATTAGTTATATATTAAGTCCACTCAAGTGCTAAACGGCCGGAATTTATATGCATTCTAACATAGTACCTCAAAGAGATTGATGATGTCTTCTACTTTCGTCCATATCGGTAGGGAGCCTTCTATGCAGATACAGTTCGGCATGTAGTATGGAGTGATGGAAATGGTCTGATCGAGCTTCTTCCCAGTATGTTCGTCCTCGACGATCAAGTTCGGGCATTTTTTATCTTCCGGAGTCTGCGACTCTTGTCACGGTGACTCGCATTGTTGTGATTCTAAGTTCGCGATCTGCCCCTTGGTACGGCCAAGGCATCCTGACTCTTTTTACCATATAAGGTAACCAACTCGAAGTTCATAGATGTCACGATCGAGGTGTTGAAACTCTAGAGTCAACGGAAACGCCAGGTGGTGGGAAAAGTAAGTGAGTATTTTTCTACTTCTGGATTAACTGGCCGCATTAACTGCGTATTAGTTTAACTAATTAATCTAATTACCTAATTGTCCCCCAGAATCTCACTCTATTGTATTTTATCATTACTCCTACGTTCTAAATGTTTCATTAAAACCACAA